CCCCCGGGGGCCCCTACGCCAGCCCGGCCTGCCGCCACCAGCTCTACCGCCTGCTGCTGGCCCTGCTGCTGGCCCCCGCGCCCGCCTGCCCCCCGCCCCTGCACTGCGCCCTGCGGGCTTTTGCCCTGGGCCAGCGGGACCCCAGCCTGCAGGTGAGACCCCCAGGGACCCCCCCGCCCCCCCCGTTCTCCCCTCCCCCCGGCTGCAGCACGCCCCCGCCCCGCATCTCTCTCGCCCCCCTGCAGGTGTCGTCCTTCTGCGCCGAAGCCCTGGTGACCTGCAGCGCCCTGGCCCGCCCCCGGGTGCCCTCCTTGCAGCTGCCTCTCCCCGGCTCCACCCCCTCCGCCGGCCCTGCCCCCTCGGAGCTGGCCGCCTCCCCCTTCCGCCAGGCCCCGGCCCTTCCCCGCCCCCCGCCTGCTCGCCCCCCGTCCGCCGCCGCCGCCAACCACCTGGGGCTGGCGCCACCTCGGCTGCCCCCCTCCGCCACGCCCGGCCTGGGCCTGGCAGAGGAGCCCGGGGAGGCGGGTGACCCCCGGCTGCTGGCCCCGCCCTCGCCCGGGGGCGCGGAAGAAGGGGGGGCGGGGCTGGGGGGCAAACCCCGGCGCCCCGTCTACGTGCACTACGAGAAGGAGGAGGAGTCGGATGTGGAGATCTCCCTGGAGAGCGACTCTGACGACAGCGTGGTCATCGTCCCCAAGGGGCTGCTGCCCAAGCCCCCCCCGGCCGCCCCCGCCCCCCCTGCGCCACCCTCCCCGCCCCCCACCCAGCCCCCTGAGGAGCCACCCGCCACCCCCCTCCCGCCTGCCGCCGGAGAGGCGCTGCCCGGCCTGGGCGAGGAGAACCCGGCCGTGATCAACATCAACAGCAGCGAGGAGGAGGAGGAGGAGTTCCCGGAGGAGGAGGAAGACGAGGAGGAGGAGGAGGAAGAGGAAGAGGAGGAGTACTTCGACGAGGAAGACGAGGACTTCGACGAGGAGGAGGAAGAGGAGGAGGAATTCGAGGAGGAGGAAGAGCTGGGGGAGGAGGAAGAGGAGGAGGAGTACGAGGAGGAGGAAGGCCTGTCAGAGGAAGAGGAGGAGGAAGAGGAGGGGGCCCTCTCGGAGGAAGAGCGGGCGCCCCCCGGACCCCAGGAGCCACAGGCCGCGCCCGGGGAGCCGGACGACCTCATCATGGAGGTAGAGGAGAGCCAGGCACCTGAGCCGCCACCCCCTGAGGAGGACGAGGAGGAGGAGGAGGAGGTGGTGGTCATGAAGGCTAGCCCCCTGCCTGCCCCCCAGCCGCTGCGGGAGGAGGAGGAGGAGGGGGAGCTGCCGCCGGCACCACCCACCCCGCCCCAGCGGGCCAGCCCCCTCCAGGCTCCGCCTCCCGACCAGGAGGAGATGGAGGAGGAGCCCCCACTGCTGGAAGCCCCGCCCCCTGTCCTGGAGGAGGAGCAGCCCCCCAAGGAGGAGGGGGCGCCCCCAGCGGGGGATCCGGGGGACGGCGCCGGAGAGGGGGCCCAGCCCAGCCCCGAGCGGGAGCAGCCGGCCGTGAAGGCAGAGGTGAGACTGGGGGGGTGAGACAGGGTGAGGGGTGAGTGAGGAGTGGGGCCCAGCGGAGGAGCGTGGGGGGCGGGACACCCCTGTAGAGGGAGTGGGGATGAGGTGTGGGTCGGGGGCTGAGGGGCGGAGATGGGGGCTGGGCAGGGGGGAACGGGGCTGTCCCTAGGGCAAGGGCCCCTGTTTTACCCCCCGTTACCCCCCCCAGGCGGAGGTGGACGAGACGGCGACCATGCTGGCTGACTTCATTGACTGCCCTCCGGACGACGAGAAGGGGCCCCCGAGCCCAGCCCCTAGGGGAGCCCCCGACCTGCCTGCCCACCTCCGGGAACCCCCCAACCAGCCCCCACCCACTGTGTGTGTCGGATAGTTCAATAAACACCCCCCTAGCGCCAGGCTGTGCAGTCTGTGTGGGGAGGGGAGCGGCGGGGGGGCGACACTTCAGGGCAGTTGCACCTGTATCCCCAGCACAGCCTGGGGGGATAACCCATGCCCTACGGGGGAGAGGGGGGTCTGACATCCCCAGGGGATGGGGTAACCCCCCACTACCTGTCTGACCCAGCCGCCCCTCCTTATGCCCCCCCGTATCAGACCCCACATCCAGTGCCCCCGAGGTGGGGCGGGCTGACGGAGGTGGGGGGCTTTGATCACGGCAGCAGGGCTGGGGCGGTGCCGGCCCATGTCAGGGTGGGTGTGACCCGGGACCGTGTAGCGGGATAGCAAAGAGATGCTAGGGCGGGTGCCTGTCCACCCCGGGGGGCAGCAGAGGCGGCCTATGTGAGTCTGTGCCCCCTAGCGTCTGTCGGGTGTGGGGACCTGGCTTCACCACCCAACCGAGGCAGGGCTTGCTGGGGCATATCCTGGGGGGCTGCTGGGCCGGCTCCCCGTGGAGAGCCCCCGTGCCTGGGTCTCTGATGGATGGGACCCCCCTGGAGCCTCTAAGGGGGTGTGGAGCCTCCCCCCTTCTCTGGGCCATGAGAGGGTGAGGTCTGTGCAGGGGGGGCCCTGTCACAGATTCGCAGGCTTGGGCACCGCTCCGGATGGAGCCGGGCAGGACTTGGCTGCAGCTTCTCCCCCTGCCGACCCCCAGGCCAAGGAGCCTGCTTGGGTGGGGTGCCCCCGGGAGCTCCCCGCAGTGAGTCCCCCTGGGCAGGGCCCCTGGGTACCCCTCACACGCCCCCCAAAGGGCCATGCCCCACTCCCCACTGCAGGTAGTTGTCTCACAGCCGGGTTATGAGCCGTCGGGAACCCGGCGTAGGGCAGGGCGTTAGCACCAGGAGCAGGGACCAGCAGCAATGCCCGTCTGGAGGGGACCCAGAGCCCCGGCCTCTGCCCCCTGAGTCCCAAACCAGCAGCCTCAGTCCCTCCCCAGTACACCCCTCCCGACTGCCTCCGGGCTTCGTCTCTCCCCTGGGCAAACCGGTCCCCTGGGTGCTCTGTACCCAGCCCCTCCGGCTGGATCCTCACAGGGGACGGGCCCCAGCCATGGGGTGCCGGGCTACAGCGTGTGGGCCGGTCTCTGCGCCCTGTTAGCCAGTCGCCGTCACTCCTGCCTCTAGGGGTTGCTGCACCCCCGAGAGATAGGAGTGACACGTGGGGAAACTGAGGCGCGCACACAGTGGTCAGATACGACATGAAGAACGTTCCCGCTTCGGCGCAGGAAGAACCTAGAGTGCGGAATGACAGAATAACGGACAGACGTTCATGGTTACGCTGCGAACGCCACGCCCAACAAGCTCCGAGGGTGAACCAAGCCAGCGTGAAACAAGAAAGTGTCGTTTGGTTGCCAAAGGGTCGGGCTTTGAAGAGTTTACAGAAGCTGTGGAAGCGAGTGATTAACCCGGGTGGGGCATCCGAAGCACGCTGTACAAAGGCGTCACACCATTGCGGCGTGTTCAAGAGTGGAAGAGAAATGCCGGCCGAGTTTGAAGAGGACAAAGCCAAGTGGAAGCAGAAACTTCAAGACTTTGAGGGGGGAAAACACCACAATGCCCAGGTCCTGCCATACTTTCCCCGTCCTGTAGCAAGCCGTGGGCTGGGAGAGGATTGTCGCAGATGAATCTGCGTGGCGAGATGAGTGAAATCGGTTGGAAATGGACGCAGAAAAAGCCAAACTACGGATTTGTTTTGGTTTTCAAAACGCTGCATGCGAGGCCCCGTCTCCAGCGTCCCTCGGCCATAAGAAGTCCTTCGTGGCTGCCGGGCAGGGGAAAAAATACAAGTAGACAGTGAGGTAAGGTTCGGGCACGCTGTCTGTGCCATATAATTAGTGTTGACGGAGCTTTGTCCTCATTTTTAGAAGCAGTCCGGCTGATTAACGGTAGAGGCGATGGCTCGTGCACCGTGGGGTTCAGTATGAAATACACTCGAGCGCCCAAAGAACCAGCGTCAGCCAGGTGTATAAATACGGTACAGGAAACAAGTTCTCTCCGGTGCCAGTCTCCGGGAAGCCGGCCTGTGCGGCATCGTTACGTTCCCCCGTGACGCACTTCAGCCGGTGGTATTTATACCGCATTTTCACAAGTGACCTGTCGCTACCCCCCTTTCCCTGGCTGGTTCGGTCCCGCTCTTCGCTGGGTTTTGGATCCGGGGGCCGGGCCGCGCGCCCAACGTCTCTAGCTTGATTTCGAGCCGTTTTCGATTGGCTTGGGCCAGATGCCGACTTTGACGAGGGCCGGGGGGTGATGGGAGGGCGGCAGCTAGCAGGGTGCGGGGCCAGGCTGCGTTAGGCCAATTCACCGGCCCAGGCTGCGGGGTGTATGAATGGAGGGGTGGGACGGGGAGAATCCACGTTCGGAGGAGCGGGGTGGGGGTTGACGGGCGGGTGTGAGTCAAGGGGACCACGGACTTGTCCTCCAGGCGCCTGGGATGGCCACCCCGCCTTGCCCGGAGCCATGGCCTGGTCCGCAGGTGGCCCTGCCCTTCCCCAGAGTCACGTGACCCAGTCCCCATGTGGCCCTGCCCTTCCCCAGAGTCACGTGACCTGGTCCCCATGTGGCCCTGCCCTTGTCCAGTCACGTGACCCGGTCCCCATCTGACCCTGTCCCCATGTGGCCCTGCCCTTATCCAGAGTCACGTGACCCTGCCCTTGCTCAAGTTAAGGCCCTGTCATGTGACAGCCCTTCCCCCACCGCCCCAGTTCTTTGGACTGTACCATTTGCGCCAGGGAAGGGGTTGTTTTTCATTCCCCTTATTTAACTCTCCCAGCTTATGGGGATTTTACCCACCCCCACTCCTGAGGGGGATTTGGGGCTCTCGGAAACCCGCGTCTATAAATAGCCGGGGTTCACCCCCCCGCCCGGTTGAGGATGGAACGGTCCGGGGCCGCTCGACCAATCGGAAGGCGGAGCTGGAAGCGGCCGGGGCCGGTTCCATTGCGCCACAAGGGGGACGTGTCTCCACTCCCCCCAGTCTTTGCAGAGTGGTTCCGCCCGGTCAGCTGACTCCTCCCTTCGGGGGCCGCGGCTGCCCTCAGTCTGCTGCGTCGGCCCGGCCAGCAGCAGCCCGAGGAGGAGGCTCCGCGCCGCCCGCCCCCCCGGCCCGGCCATGGCCTCCCTGCTCTGCTGCGGGCCCAAGCTGGCCGCCTGCGGCATCGTGCTCAGCGCCTGGGGCGTCATCATGCTGGTGAGCGGGGCCCTGGCCGCCTGGGGGGGGTTGGGGGGCGGGGGGAGAAGGTTGGGGGGCGGGGGGAAGATTGGGGGGCGGAGGGAAGTTGGGGGTGGGGGAGGGGAAGGTTGGGGTGCACCAGGGCTGGTGGGGGGCTGTGGGGGGAAGGTGGGGGGCAGGGGAAGGATTGGGGGGGGGGGGAAGGTTGGGGTGCACCAGGGCTGGTGGAGGGCAGGGGAAGGATTGGGGGGTGGGGGGGAAGGGTGGGGGTGCACCAGGGCTGGTGGAGGGTGGGGGGAGGGGAAGGTTGGGGTGCACCGGGGCTGTGGGGGAAGGTGGGGGGCAGGGGAAGGATTGGGGGGGTGGGGGAAGGTTGGGGTGCACCAGGGCTGGTGGAGGGTGGGGGGAGGGGAAGGGTGGGGTGCACCAGGGCTGGTGGGGGGCTCTGGGGGAAGGTGGAGGGCAGGGGAAGGATTGGGGGGGGGGGGGAAGGGTGGGGTGCACCAGGGCTGGTGGAGGGTGGGGTGCACCAGGGCTGGTGGGGGGCTCTGGGGGAAAGTGGAGGGCAGGGGAAGGATTGGGGGCTGGGGGGGAAGGTTGGGGTGCACCAGGACTGGTGGAGGGAGGGGGAGGGTGGGGTGCACCAGGGCTGGGGGGGGAGGGGAAGGATGGGGTGCACTAACGGTGCAGGGGAGGGCAACCTGGGTGTGTATGGGAGGGGGGACTTAGGGGTAGAAGTGGGTGGCAAGAGTGGTTGGGTGGGGTGGACGGGGGGCACGGGGAGCACTGTGTGACGGGGGGGGGCTGCCCCACAGTGGCTGGATCCAGCCTGGGCTGCGGTGGGGGGCACCTCCCCCCTCCAACTTCCCCAGCGACACTGACTTCCCCACACGAGCGGGGAAAAGGTGACGGGGCGGCTTAAGCACCAGCTGCATCACCCCTGGGTGCCGCAGGGGTGGAGTGACCCCCGAGGCCGTGCCCGGCGCCCCCTCTGGGCAAACCCTGGGGCTGCGTGCGGCGCGCCCTCCGCGTGTCCCCCCCCCCCCGCTGCCGGGCCAGGCGCCCCCTTAGTAATGGGATAGATGAAGACAGAAAATCTCCTGTTGCCTCTCTCTGAATCCGTGGGACGCCCGCGGCTTGAGTCCTGCGCCTGGCGTGGTGGCCCCGTCTCTTGGGACTGGAAAAGGCTCAGCGGAGGGCAACGAAATCGGTTAGGGGGGTGGAACGCCGGCCGTGCGAGGAGAGCTTAATAAAATGGGGACTTTTCAGCTCGGGAAAGAGACGGCTAAGGGGGGATATGACAGAGGTCTATGAAATCATGATGGGCGTGGGGAAAGTAAATAGGGAAGTGTCATTTTCTCCTCATAACCCAAGAACTAGGGGCCACCCAATGAAGCGAACAGGCAGCGGGTTTAAAACCCACACAAGGAAGTCTTTCTTCACCCAACCGTTAACCTGTGGAACTCCTTGCCAGAGGACGTGGTGAAGGCCAAAACTATAACAAGGTTCAAAAAAGAACTAGAGAAGTTCCTGGAGGACAGGTCCAGCAATGACTATGAGCCAGGCTGGGCAGGGCTGGTGTCCCTGGCCTCTGTTTGCCAGTAGCTGGGGATGGGCGACAGGGGAGGAGTCACTGGATGATTCCCTGTTCGGTCCATTCCCTCTGGGGCCCCTGGCCCTGGCCACTGTCGGCAGATAGGACACTGGGCTAGATGGACCCTTGGTCTGACCCAGTCTGGCCGCTCTTATGATCTGTCCTGGGCATTGACTTTCTGCTCCTGGGAAGGTCGCGTTCTCCCTCCTTGGCCGGTTCCATCCGACCCGGGGCCAGTTCTCTCCAGGAGCCGGCTGGGCACGGCAGGGACGCTCGGGTGCCGGGTGTTGTGTACACAGGCTCGGGGCTAGGTCCTGATTCCCTGGTGTAGGGGATGGGGCCTGCCAGGTCCCTCTGCCCTGCTGCGGCTGGTCCCTAAAGTAGGACTTAGAATCATAGAATATAAGGGTTGGAAGGGACCCCAGAAGGTCATCTAGTCCAACCCCCTGCTCAAAGCAGGACCAATTCCCAGTTAAATCATCCCAGCCAGGGCTTTGTCAAGCCTGACCTTAAAAACCTCTAAGGAAGGAGATTCTACCACCTCCCTAGGTAACGCATTCCAGTGTTTCACCACCCTCTTAGTGAAAAAGTTTTTCCTAATATCCAACCTAAACCTCCCCCACTGCAACTTGAGACCATTACTCCTCGTTCTGTCATCTGCTACCATTGAGAACAGTCTAGAGCCATCCTCTTTGGAACCCCCTTTCAGGTAGTTGAAAGCAGCTATCAAATCCCCCCTCATTCTTCTCTTCTGCAGGCTAAACAATCCCAGCTCCCTCAGCCTCTCCTCATAACTCATGTGTTCCAGACCCCTAATCATTTTTGTTGCCCTTCGCTGGACTCTCTCCAATTTATCCACATCCTTCTTGAAGTGTGGGGCCCAAAACTGGACACAGTACTCCAGATGAGGCCTCACCCATGTCGAATAGAGGGGAACGATCACGTCCCTCGATCTGCTCGCTATGCCCCTACTTATACATCCCAAAATGCCATTGGCCTTCTTGGCAACAAGGGCACACTGCTGACTCATATCCAGCTTCTCGTCCACTGTCACCCCTAGGTCCTTTTCCGCAGAACTGGTGCCTAGCTGTTCGGTCCCTAGTCTGTAGCTGTGCATTGGGTTCTTCCGTCCTAAGTGCAGGACCCTGCACTTATCCTTATTGAACCTCATCAGATTTCTTTTGGCCCAATCCTCCAATTTGTCTAGGTCCTTCTGTATCCTATCCCTCCCCTCCAGTGTATCTACCACTCCTCCCAGTTTAGTATCATCCGCAAATTTGCTGAGAGTGCAATCCACACCATCCTCCAGATCATTTATGAAGATATTGAACAGAACCGGCCCCAGGACCGACCCTTGGGGGCTGCCCCGTGGGGCGTGGATCCTGCTGGGGGCACGGGGCCAAGGTGGGTTTAGGGGGTGGCACTGGGCTTAGCCAGGTGTATGTGGCGGTGGTCTGGGCTGTGCCCTGCCCATGGGCGGGGTGCAGTGCTGGGATGAGGGGGGTGCTTTCCCTGCCCTGCTCACCCCCCGCCCCCCGATCTCTGGCCTCTCCCTGTAGATTCTCCTGGGGATCTTCTTCAACGTGCACTCGGCGGTCCTCATAGAAGACGTTCCCTTCACGGAGGAAGATTTCAAGGGGTAAGTGCAGCCCACGGGGCCTGTCCCCTCTCGGGCGGGGACTGGCTGGCTCAGGGGGGCGGGGAATGGGGCACGGGGCCTGTCCCCTCTTGGGGCGCCGGCTCCAGGACTGACCCCCCCCCCCTCCTTCCGCCCCGCAGCGGCCCGGAGAAGATCCACCACCTCTACGAGCAAGTCAGCTACAACTGCTTCATCGCGGCCGGGCTCTACGTGCTGCTCGGGGGCTTCTCCTTCTGCCAGGTCCGGCTGAACAAGCGCAAGGAGTACATGGTGCGCTAGGCGGGGCGGCCGCCCCCCGCCCCGGACCCCGCCGGGACCCTCTATTTATTACAGCTCCTCCCTGGTGCCCCTGGGCTTGGGAGTCGCCCTGCTGGTGGGGGCTGTGCCTGGGGGCTGTGCCTGGGCCCTGCCTCCCCCCATCCTCCCCCGTGTGTGGCAGGCTCTGGGCTGGGGGGGGGGGTGTGTGTCACTTTCTGTGCCCCCCAGTGTGGAGTGCCCCCTTTGTCTCACTTTCAAAATCCCACCCTCCGTTGTTGTCCATCCCCTTCCCCATCTCTCCAGCTAGGGGTGGGGGGGTCGGTAGCCGCTGAGATGGGTGAGATGCTGAGATGGGTGAGATGGGTCTGATGGGGTGGGGGGGTGGCGTGTCCTGCAGAGAACACCCCCCCCCCCCCCCCCAGCCGGGTCGCGATCTGTGTCCCTTTGTGTCCAGTCTGGAATTGGTTCCTGCCCAATAAAACACGTTGGATCCCCTGCCTGTGGCCCAGTGTTTACTGGGGCGCGGTGGGGGGGTATGGGGGGAGGAGTGTGGGGGGGGGGTGCCTGGGGACTGGGTGGTTTTAGGAGGAGGGCTGGGGGGGCTTTGGGGGGGGTGCTGGGCCAGTGGGGTGCTCAGAGGGGGGCTGCAGGGTGGGGGGAGCTGGGAGGGTTCTGGGCCAGTGCGGGGGCTCAGAGGGGGGCTTTAGGGTGGGGGGAGCTGGGGGGGTACTGGGCCAGTGCGGGGGCTCAGAGGGGGGCTTTAGGGTGGGGGGAGCTGGGGGGGGTACTGGGCCAGTGCGGGGGCTCAGAGGGGGGCTTTAGGGTGGGGGGAGCTGGGAGGGTTCTGGGCCAGTGCGGGGGCTCAGAGGGGGGCTTTAGGGTGGGGGGAGAGGGGGGTGCAGGGCCAGTGGGGGGCTCAGAGGAGGCTGTCGGTTGGGGGGTGCAGGGCCAGTGGGGGGTGCAGGGCTGGTTCTGGGCAGTGGGGGACTTTGGGGGGGTGCAGGGCCAGTGGGGGGCTTGAGGGGGGCTGCGGGGTGGGGGGAGCTGGGGGGTGCAGGGCCAGTGGGGGGCTCGGAGGGGGGCTTTAGGGTGGGGGGAGCTGGGGGCTGCAGGGCCAGTGGGGGGGCTTGAGGGGGGCTGCAGGGTGGGGGGGAGCTGGGGGGTGCAGGGCCAGTGGGGGGCTCGGAGGGGGGCTGTAGGGTGGGGGGAGCTGGGGGTGCAGGGCCAGTGGGGGGCTCGGAGGGGGCTGTAGGGTGGGGGAGCTGGGGGTGCAGGGCCAGTGGGGGGCTCGGAGGGGGCTGTAGGGTGGGGGAGCTGGGGCTGCAGGGCCAGTGGGGGCTTGAGGGGGCTGCAGGGTGGGGGAGCTGGGGGTGCAGGGCCAGTGGGGGCTCGGAGGGGGGCTGTAGGGTGGGGGAGCTGGGGGGTGCAGGGCCAGTGGGGGGCTTGGAGGGGGGCTGCAGGGTGGGGGGAGCTGGGGGGTGCAGGGCCAGTGGGGGGCTCGGAGGGGGGCTGTAGGGTGGGGGGAGCTGGGGGGTGCAGGGCCAGTGGGGGGCTTGAGGGGGGCTGCGGGGTGGGGGGAGCTGGGGGGTGCGGCAGGGGAGGGCGGGGCGGGTGGCCTGGGGCAGGGGGGGGAGGGGTGGGCAGCAGCTGGCTCTGGGGAGGGGCTGGGGAGCGGACGGGGGGCGGAGCCTTCGCTGCGGGGGGCCACGTGCCCTGCGGGGGAGGGGGCGGCGAAGGGGTTAAGACCAGCGAGCGCTCGGTCCTCCCGCCGCCTAGAGCGGGGCCGGAAGTGGTGGCCGCCGCTGCTTCCGGCTGCGGCCCGCCCCGTTTTCCCGCCATCCCGCGCAGGGCGCGCGCGCAGCAGGCCGGGGGCGGGGCCAGGAGCTGGGGGCCGCGAGCGGCGGCGCGGGCCGGAGAAACCCCCGGGGCGGGGGCAGGAGCGTCCGGGGCGCCATGACGTCAGCGTCCACCAAGGTTCGGAGGGGGGCGGGGCCGGCAGTGGGTGGGGGGGTCCCCGAGGGGGGGGGCTGGAGGCGGCCGGGGGGTCCCCGGGGGGGGAGGGGACGCGGTGGGGGGGCTGGAGGCGGCCGGGGGGGTCCCCGGGGGGGGAGGGGACGCGGTGGGGGGGCTGGAGGCGGGCGGGGGGGGAGGGGACGCGGGGGGGGGGCTGGAGGCGGGCCGGGGGGTCCCGGGGGGAGGGGACGCGGGGGGGGGGGGGCTGGAGGCGGGCGGGGGGGAGGGAACGCGGGGGGGGGGGCTGGAGGCGGGGCGGGGGGGAGGGAACGCGGGGGGGGGCTGGAGGCGGGCCGGGGGGGGTACCCGGGGGGGGGGGACGCGGTGGGGGGGCTGGAGGCGGGCCGGGGGGTCCCCGGGGGAGGGGAGGGGACGCGGTGGGGGGCTGGAGGCGGGCCGGGGGGTCCCCGGGGGGAGGGGAGGGGACGCGGTGGGGGGGCTGGAGGCGGGCCGGGGGGTCCCCGGGGGGAGGGGAGGGGACGCGGTGGGGGGGCTGGAGGCGGGCCGGGGGGTCCCCGGGGGGAGGGGACGCGGTGGGGGGGCTGGAGGCGGGCCGGGGGTCCCCGGGGGGGGAGGGGACGCGGTGGGGGGGCTGGAGGCGGGCCGGGGGGTCCCCGGGGGGGAGGGGACGCGGTGGGGGGCTGGAGGCGGGCCGGGGGTCCCCGGGGGGGGAGGGGACGCGGGGGGGGGCTGGAGGCGGGCCGGGGGGGAGGGGACGCGGGGGGGGGGCTGGAGGCGGGCCGGGGGGTCCCCGGGGGGAGGGGAGGGGACGCGGGGGGGGCTGGAGGCGGGCCGGGGGGTCCCCGGGGGGAGGGGACGCGGGGGGGGGCTGGAGGCGAGGCGGGGGGGAGGGGACGCGGTGGGGGGGCTGGAGGCGGGCCGGGGGGTCCCGGGGGGGGAGGGGATGCGGGGGGTGGAGGCGGGCCGGGGGGTCCCCGGGGGAGGGGAGGGGACGCGGGGGGGGGCTGGAGGCGGGCCGGGGGGTCCCCGGGGGGGAGGGGACGCGGGGGGGGGGGCTGGAGGCGAGCCGGGGGGTCCCCCTGGCGGGGGGGAGGGGACGCGGTGGGGGGGCTGGAGGCGGGCCGGGGGGTCCCCGGGGGGGGAGGGGACGCGGGGGGGGGCTGGAGGCGGGCCGGGGGGTCCCCCTGGCGGGGGGGCTCCCTGACACCCCCGTCCCCCCGCAGGTGGGCGAGATTTTCTCCGCGGCCGGCGCCGCCTTCACCAAGCTGGGGGAGCTGACCATGCAGCTGCACCCCGTGGCCGACTCGTCCCCCGCTGGGTGAGCCGGGGGGGGCCCCGGGGGCGGGGGGAGGCCTGGCCGCCGCCCTGCCCCCCACGCCGGGGTTGCGGCGGGGGGGGGGTGCTGTGTTATTGCAGGGTCTCCGGGGCAGGGGGCGGCCTGGGGGGAGGGGGAGCGGCTGGGTGGGTGGGGGCGGGGCAGGGGAGGCCCTGACCCATGTGTGTCCCCCCCCCACACCCCCCCCCGTTACCCCAGGGCCAAGTGGACGGAGACGGAGATCGAGATGCTGCGGGCGGCCGTGCGGCGCTTCGGGGACGACCTGAACCGGATCAGCGCCGTCATCAAGGAGCGGACGGTGTAAGGGGGGGGGCGGTGTCTCTGGGGGGGGACGACGACGACGATGACATGGGGGGTCCTGGCTGGGGGGGGAGCCTTGCGCGGTGACTCCCCCCCCTCCCCTCTTTCCTCTCCCCGCAGGGCGCAGATCAAAGCCACGGCCAAGCGTAAGGCCTATGAGGACAGCGGGGTGCCCCTGCCCGCCGACTCCCCCAAGAAGGGCCCCAAGAAGGGGCACGGGCTGGGGGGGGCGGCGGCGGTGGCCGCCCCGGCCCTGGCCCCCCCCGCCCAGGTTGGGGGCCCCGCCGGGCTGCAAGACACGCCCGCCCCGCCCATGAAGAAGCAGAAGGCGTCGGGTGAGCGGCACCCCTGGGTGTTCCCGCCCCGAGGCCCTATGGGGCGGGGTCCTGTCCGGGGGGCGGCTATTTGCCTGTGGGGGTCGTGTGCCCTGGGGGGGGCCGTGTCTGGGGGGGGTGTCGTGCGCCCTGGGGTGCGGGAGGGGCCAGTCTCTCAGTGGATCGGGTGGGGGCGGGGCTCTATGGATGGGGGGCCGTGTGCAGGCGGGGAGGGGGGACCCCACGCGCCCGGCTGACCCCTCTCTCCCCCCCCGACTCCCCCCGGCAGACGTCACGCTCAGCGCCTTGAACGACTCAGATGCCAACAGCGACCTGGTTGACATCGAGGGGCTGGGGGACGCCCCCCCCGCCAAGAAACTCAACTTCGACCAGGGTATGGGCCGGGGGCGGGGGGCGGACCCACACCCGGGGTGCTGGGAAGGGGCGGGGGGGCGGCTGGGGGGACCCCCCTGCCCCCCAGGGAGATGTGGGGGTTTGGGCAGACCATTTCCTCCATTGGCAGCCATCATCCCAGCGGGGGGCGGGGGTGTCGATCGGCTGGTCCCCCCCTCGAGAGCCGTGGGGTGGGAGTTCTCGGGAAAATCCCCCCCTTGGGAAGGCGGGAACCGACGAGAGAATCGGGGCCCCCCCGTCCCCAAACGGGGCTCCGGGGTGTGGGAAAAGGGGCGACACAGCTGGGGAGGAGAGAGATTTCTCAGGCCTGGACAAGGGACGGCTCGGGGGAGCCGGAGGCGGGGGGGGTGATCAGGGTCTAGAAAATCCTGACCGGGGCGGGGGGAGAACGCGCAACTCCCTCCTCCTCGTAACACGGCCTGGGGGCCAGCCGATGCAGTGAGTATTGAAAACCAGGGAAAGGCCCTGTTTCCTCACCTGCCCCGCCGTTAACCTGGGGAACTCCTTGCCGCAGGATGTTGCGGAGGCCGGGCCGATCCCAGGGTGCAAAGAACTCGAGAAGTTCATGGGGGACAGGTCCAGCAGTGGCAACGAGCCAGGCTGGGCAGTCCCTCGCCCCTGTTTCCGTGAGGCCCCGCCCCCCCCGTGCGCAGGCCCCGCCTCCCCCTCCCTCAGCCTCTCTTGTGATCTCTCTCCCTCTCTCAGACAGTCTGACCCTGGACACCGGGCTGCTGATCACGCCCGGCGACCTGCCCCTGCTGTCCCGCTGAGCCCCCCGCGAACGGACCGACCCACGCCTGCGAGGAGCCCCGCCCCTTTGGGGAGGAGTCACACCCCCCCCGCCTACGGGGGGGGAGGGGGCTGCTGGGAGGTGTCATTGCGCAGACACCCCCCCCCCCCCCAGCTTTCCTGCTGTTTCCCCGGCCCTGGGTTTGTTTTTTATTTTAAATAAAAGTGACCCCCCCCCCCTTCCCCGGGTGTGTCTGGTAATTGTCAGGGAGGCACTGGGGCGAGCGGGGGGGGGCCTCCCAAAGAGATGTGTTGGGGGGGTGCAGCGGGGAGCAGCCAGACCCCAAAGGCAGATGGCCCCAGGTCCCCAGAGGGGACAGTGGCTGGGGGACCGGGTTCCCTTCCCTGGCAGGGGACGGGGTTATTTTTGGGGGCCCGGGTACCCCTGTCCAGGGGCTGGGTTATTTGGGGGGGCTGGGTTATTTGGAAGGTCAGGTTCCCCTCTCTGGTGGGGGACTGGGTTATTTTGGGGGCTGGGTACCCCCTGTCCGGGGGCTGGGTTATTTGGGGGGCTGGGTTCGCCTCTCTGGTGGGGGACTGGGTTATTTTGGGGGGCTGGGGGGGAGGGCTGGGTGCCCCTGTCCAGGGGCTGGGTTTTTGGGGGGCTGGGTTCCCCTCTCTGTGTTTGGCTGAGCACGGGGGGGCTGCTTCCCTCCAGGAGCCAGGTCTCCGAGCCGCAGCCGGGCTGGACCCCCAGGGTGAGGGGCTGCGCCCCAGTGTTGCCACAGGCCCTGGGGGGGCCACCTTGGGGCACCAGCCCCCACCTCCAGGGCCCAAGCCCGAGGCCAGAGACCCGCCAGGTTGGGCCCTGTGGCCACGAGCCCCCCACTCAGCCCTGGCGCCCCCCCCCCCGATTCCTCAGCGCCGGCCGCTCCCCCGGACCCCCTTTATCCCCTGCCGCTCCTCACCCGGCCCAGTGCTCTCCAGCCGGGCCTCGGGGGGGGGGAGGCTCAGTTCTTGGCTCCCGTCCTGTGCCGCCCCCCACTTGGAGAAACTGAGGCACTGGGCGGAGTGGTACAAATCCCGCCAGCTTTGTCATGGGAGTGGGTTTGGGGGGCTGGCGTGGGAGAGCCTGGGCAGCTGGCGGGGACCCCAACCCTGGGGAGCAGGCTCGGTTGGGGTAAAGTGAGTCAAGGGAGACCCCTCCAAGGCTCCCCAGAGCTGTGGGTCTAGGCGAGGAGGGTGGAGGGATCCCGCAGCGGGGACCTGTCTACTAGGGGATCTGACCGCTGGGCGCCCTCGGAGAGACGTGAGGGGCCCTTGGCGAAAGCCCGGCACAGTCGTGGGGGTGCTGCCGGTAGAGACCCCATAAAGCCAGGCCAGGGGGCGCCCTCCCTGGCACGCAGCACTGGCTGCCCCGCCCCAGAGCTGGCCGCATCTCCGCGCCGGGCGAGGGGTCCCCGTGTCACCCCAGAGGTGGGCGCATCTCGGCGCTGGGCGAGGGGTCCCCGTGTCACCAGCCGCCCCGCCCTGAGGTGGGCGTGTCTCCGTGCCGGGCGAGGGGTCCCCATGTCACCGGCCACCTCGCCCCAGAGCTGGCCGCATCTCGGCGCCGGGCGAGGGGTCCCCGGGTCACCCCAGAGGTGGGCGCGTCTGGCCGCCGGGCGAGGGGTCCCCGGGTCACCCCAGAGGTGGGCGCGTCTGGCCGCCGGGCGAGGGGTCCCCGGGTCACCCCAGAGGTGGGCGCGTCTGGCCGCCGGGCGAGGGGTCCCCGGGTCACCCCAGAGGTGGGCGCGTCTGGCCGCCGGGCGAGGGGTCCCCGGGTCACCCCAGAGGTGGCTGCGTCTGGCCGCCGGGCGAGGGGTCCCCGGGTCACCCCAGAGGTGGGCGCGTCTGGCCGCCGGGCGAGGGGTCCCCGGGTCACCCCAGAGGTGGGCGCGTCTGGCCGCCGGGCGAGGGGTCCCCGGGTCACCCCAGAGGTGGCTGCGTCTGGCCGCCGGGCGAGGGGTCCCCGGGTCACCCCAGAGGTGGGCGCGTCTGGCCGCCGGGCGAGGGGTCCCCCGGGTCACCCCAGAGGTGGCTGCGTCTGGCGGCCGGGCGAGGGGTCCCCGGGTCACCCCAGAGGTGGGCGCGTCTGGCCGCCGGGCGAGGGGTCCCCGGGTCACCCCAGAGGTGGCTGCGTCTGGCCGCCGGGCGAGGGGTCCCCGGGTCACCCCAGAGGTGGGCGCGTCTGGCCGCCGGGCGAGGGGTCCCCGGGTCACCCCAGAGGTGGGCGCGTCTGGCCGCCGGGCGAGGGGTCCCCGGGTCACCCCAGAGGTGGGCGCGTCTGGCCGCCGGGCGAGGGGTCCCCGGGTCCCCGGCCGCCCCGCCCCAGAGGTGGCCGCGCATCTCGCAGGCCGCAGTCGCACGCAGGCTCCTGTCGCTTGGCCCCCCAGGCCCCGGCCCCGGCCGCGCGTGGCCCGGCCCCGCTGGGGCAGCACAAGGAAATACTGGCCGGCCGGCGGGACGCTGCCAATATTTCTGTGCTGCTGGAGCGGGACGGGCAGGGCCAGGCCCGACGCCGGGGTAGATGGGCTGGGGGCGGCGTGGTCGCTCCGTGGCCGCGGTCCCGGCCCGCGCGGTAACACCACAAAATGGTTTGTGCGTCCAGACCCTCAGACAAACCATGATGTGCTGCTGGGGCGAAGGCCGGGGGTGGGTAGGTGGGGGGGGGGCCGTCCAGGCCTGCGGGGGGGGCCGGCGGGGGGGGAGTCGTCTGCCCAGCCACGGGACAGGACCAGGGTGGGGGGGGTCCTGCAGCAGATAAACACAACCGATTCGGGAGGGGTTGTGGGGGGGGGGGGGGAATCCGGAGTCAGACCAGGTTTAATTTGGGGGGGGGGTTGTCTACCATATAAGGGGAGCTGGGGTGGGGGCGACTGGTAGAATGGGGGGGGGCCCTTCATGTGGGTGCCCCAGCCGGGTACATGCGGGAGGGGGGGGGTTGCTGCTGGATCTCCCCCCCCCCGGCCAATCCCACCCAGCCCAAAATGGAGCCGGGCCCCAGTCAGAAAATGGAAGCCTTTTGTTTCCCAGCAGCCTCTGGGGCAGCAGCTGGCTCTTAACATCCCCCGCCCCCCCCGCCCGCTGCCCCCCACCAGGAAAAAAAAAACAGTCCGAAGAGTTAATTTCGTCACCCTCCCCAATGAAACCAGCCCCGAATACAACCCCCCGCCCCCCACCCCGGCCTCGTCCCCTCACCCCCTGTGCTGCATGGGGTCCCCCCCCGAAAACAAGGACAGAAACTCCCCCCCCCCCGGCCCCCGCTGCAAGCCAGGGAGATTTGTGGGGTTTAACGGCTGAGAGCGAGGGGGGGGGTTGAGCCCCACAACGGCTCCCCCCCAAACCTCTCCCTGCCTCTGTAGGTCAATTTGTCCCCCCAAATTGCCACCCCCTCATCGCCCGCCCCTCCCCAGCTGGTATAAAATCATGGGGGCTCAGATGCCCCCCCCGACATGCGTGCCCCCTCTCCCCCACGACTGGCTCACAGCCCGGCCCACTGGTTCTGGAGTGTGTGCGTGTGTGTGGGGCGGGGGGCAGCGACCCACAACGACTTGCGGCTCCCCGCCCTTCCCCACACCGACCCCCCAAACCCGGGGCGCCAGCGAGCCCCCCCATCCACCCAGCGACACCCCTCCAACCTCAGCACGCGCGCCGGACCGACTGCCCCCGCGTACCCCCATTCAAAAACAACACACACAGAGCCCCCCCCCCACACACACATACCCCTGGCTCATTCACCCCCCAGGCCCAGCACCTCCCGGACCAGAGCCCCAAAGCGACGCCAAGATTTCGGGGAGCCAGCTGGGCCGGTGATGGGGGGGGGGCGCAGCCCAGTGTAAATCTGTGGGCATTTAGGCAGCGAGCCCCCCACTTCCCAATCTGCCCCCCGGGTGCAGGCCAGGCCGGAGCTGCCGCGCCCTGGGGCAGGCCGGGGGGTGCCGTGGGGGTGACGCAGGCAGAAATGGCGAATTGGGACAAAGCCACGGCCCTCCCCCCGCCCCGTGCACCCCGGATTTTCGTTCCCGAGCTTTTTGGGGCGATCTAAAGTTTTTTTGGGGGGGGCATCTCTCATTTAACCTCCTGCCTCCGAAATCCGGGGGGGGGGTTGAAGGAGTTGTTCTAGACAGGGACCAAATCGCAGCCCCCCCCCCCGCTGGCGGGTTTTCGGGGTGCCGCGGACATTGCGGGGGGAGGCCGGGCAGGGTCCCAGGCCAATTCGGGGCTCCCGGCTCTGGAGGGGGCGGTTTCCCCGAATGATGGTGATTTTCCAGTCGCGATTCGGGGTGAGGCCGATTCCGGGGCCTCTCAGGGTCCCCCCCGGCCGACCTCTGCCTTCTCCCGGGCCCTTTTGGGGGGCGCCGATCCTAGGGGGTCCGGGGTCCCAGCTCCGGGCGGTTTCCCGGGGCACGATTCTGGGTTTTCGCCGTCGTTTTGGGGGGCCGATCCTCCGTCTTTTCCACCCGTTGGCGTTACGATGCCTCTGCCCCCCCCCCGGCGCTTTGTTCGGCTCCCGTTCGCCCCCCAGAAAATAACCGGGGGGGGGTGGTGTTTCGTTGCTGACGAGTTTCCCCACGGCTGGATTTTTTTCTCTCTTTTTTTTTTTCCTCCCTCCTTGCACATAAAAAAACCCCCCAAACCACCCAAAGCCCGAGCGAGCGACGCAGCCGGACGCTCACTGGCTCACACCCTGCGTGCAAAGCGGGACGTTCCCCCGGCTGGGTCGGTGCCCGGCGGGGGACCCCCAGCCCCCCGCCACCCCCGGCCCCCCCACTTACCTGCCGCCAGGCCGGGGCCCGACTTTTGTGCCAGCTCCTTCCTGACCCCTGAGAAATATTCGGGGAGCTGGGGGGAGTGGGGGGGTCGCCCGCCGGGCGCCCCGGGACAAAGAAATCCAACGCAAAAAAAGATCGGTATCCGTCCGGGGGGGGGGAGGAATCCAGCCCCCCCGCCAGGTCCTGCCCCAGCCTGGGTGCCATGGGGCAGGTCCCTTTCCCAAAGCCGCCCCCCGGCAGGCCGGCACCCCTGCTCGGTCGAGGGGGGATCGCGGCCCCCCGCCTGGAAAAGGGGTGCCCCCCCCCCCGAGCCGCAAGCCCGTTCGGTGCAATTGTGGCGAGGGAGGGGAAAGAAACCCCGAGCCCGGGTGAGCAGTGACGGCTTGGTCTTTTTCCCCCTGCACAACTTTCTACACTTGAATAAACCCCCTTGGGCGGGCGGGAAAAATCCGCCAAAATTCCCGGGCGCGGCCCCGGCCCCCCCCTGGGCGTGGGTGAAGTTTGGGGGCGATCGGCCCGGCGGGGCGCCGGGGAAAAATCCCCCTTTCCAGGGCTCGGCCCGCGCGAACGCGAACGTCCCCAGCTCGTCTTTGTCACCGTGCCAACTCGGAGCCACTTGGCAGGCTCGGGCGCTTTGCAAACGGCCGGTGGGTCTCCCGCGCCCCACGGGGCCCCCCCCGCCCCGCGGCCGCCGGCCCCCCCTGCTGCCCCGGGGGGTGCCCTGCCCCCCACGCCCTGGGAGCCCCGGGGGGCCGGGGGGGGTCTGGTTTGTGCTGTTCACACCCCGGCTCCGCTCATCCACTGCAGGCTCGAATCTGCCGGTGCCGACCCACAGCCGGATTTACCCAGGGCCCGGCGCGTGCCCCCCCCTGCCCGCCCGCCGTGGGGATGGGGACCCCCCCGTCTCCCGCTGCGCTCAGCTCCTGCTGGGGGGCCGTGCCGATGGGGAGGGGGAGCTAAGGGCGACCCTCCCCCCCTTGCAGGAAATCAGAGGCCAGCCCCTGCCCCACCCCCCAGGAACAGAGCCGGGGCCCCCCAGTCTCCATGGGTCAGGGCTGGGGAGCAGCTGGCTGGGCAAGGGCCGATTGGGGAGGTTGGGGGGCGTTGGATCTTGGGGGCAGTTGGGGGGTTACCGGTAAATGGGTTTGTGAGATTAAAGGGGACATTATGTGGGGGGTGGGCATGGAGAGAACCCAGGAGTCCTGGCTCCCAGCCCCCCGTGCTCTGACCCACCAGCCCCCACTGCCCTCCCAGAGTCGGGGAGAGAACCCAGGAGTCCTGGCTCCCAGCCCCCCCTCCCTACCCAGAGCTGCGGAGAGAACCCAGGAGTCCTGGCCCCCAGCCCGCCATGCTCTAACCCCCCAGCCCCCACTCCCTACCCAGAGCTGGGGAGAGAACCCAGGAGTCCTGGCTCCCAGCACCCCCTGCTCTGATCCTCCAGCCCCCCACTCCCCTCCCAGAGCCGGGGAGAGAACCCAGGAGTCCGGGTTCCCCCCAGCTCTGTCCTAGAGGTGAACACTGAACTGTCAATCAATTATCTTGAGTCTCCCAATCAGCAAAGGTCAAAGGGCAGCCGTAACCCGACCCCTCAATGACCTGCCCTGGCAGCCAACCTGCAGCCCCCCCAGCCCTGCCGGTGCCCCTCACTCCCGACCCGCAGCCCCTGCCCCCCCAGCTCTGCCCCCCCAGCCCTGCCGGTGCCCCTCGCTCCCGACCTGCAGCCCCTGCCAGCCCGGGGCTGCCCCCCAACCCTACCGGTGCCCCTCACTCCCGACTCGCAGCCCCCTGCCCCCCCCAGCCCTGCCTGTGCCCCTCACTCCCGACTCGCAGCCCCCTGCCCCCCCCAGCCCTGCCTGTGCCCCTCACTCCCGACTCGCAGCCCCTGCCCCCCAGCTCTGCCCCCCCGCCCCCAGCCCTGCCTGTGCCCCTCACTCCCGACTCGCAGCCCCTGCCCCCCAGCTCTGCCCCCCAGCCCTGCCGGTGCCCCTCGCTCCCGACCTGCAGCCCCTGCCAGCCCGGGGCTGCCCCCCAACCCTACCGGTGCCCCTCACTCCCGACTCGCAGCCCCCTGCCCCCCCCAGCCCTGCCTGTGCCCCTCACTCCCGACTCGCAGCCCCCCGCCCCCCCCCCAGCCCTGCCTGTGCCCCTCACTCCCGACTCGCAGCCCCTGCCCCCCCAGCTCTGCCCCCCCAGCCCTGCCGGTGCCCCTCGCTCCCGACCTGCAGCCCCTGCCAGCCCGGGGCTGCCCCCCAACCCTACTGGTGCCCCTCACTCCCGACTCGCAGCCCCCTGCCCCCCCCCAGCCCTGCCTGTGCCCCTCACTCCCGACTCGCAGCCCCTGCCCCCCCAGCTCTGCCCCCCCAGCCTTGCCGGTGCCCCTCGCTCCCGACCTGCAGCCCCTGCCAGCCCGGCCCTGCCCCCCAACCCTACCGGTGCCCCTCACTCCCAACTCGCAGCCCCAGCCCTGCCGGTGCCCCTCGCTCCCGACTCGCAGCCCCAGCCCCCCCAGCTCTGCCCCCCCAGCCCTGCCGGTGCCCCTCGCTCCCGACCCGCAGCCCCTGCCAGCCCGGGGCTGCCCCCCAACCCTACCGGTGCCCCTCGCTCCCGACCCGCAGCCCCTGCCAGCCCGGCCCTGGGCCCATTTCCTGCTTCTGGGGCTGGGGCTCCTGGTTCTGCCCCCGACCTCGTGGGGGTCCTCGGGGGAGTCCCTGCGGCCCTGGGGTCGCCCAGCCTGCGTCTATCGGGGTGGGAGCTTGTGAGAGTCAGGAGGGCGTTGCCCTGGGTCCATGCAGCGCCTGGCGCAGTGGGGGGGGGGGGGCTGATCTCAGTTGG